CGCAACACTTTTATTTAAAATGTTACTCTGATTTTTAAACAAAGCATAAACAAACCGGTCTTTTCTGGCCGTGATTTTGGGGATGTCACAAAACCCTAATTGTGTTTAGTCTATAAACAACTCTTCGTTTCGATAAGAAAAAGGTTTTTAGCTCTCGTTTTTCATCACACATTCACAGAACCTTTTAGCATAATAGCTTACGTTTTCTGTGCGTAGAAACGTAGGTGTCCGCTTGGATTATGCTAGACTAAATTTCTTGTAACCCAGCTATAGGGTAGAAATATCAGTTCGAAAAGTGATATCACGATCCAAGCTGGTATCCAGATCTCCACCGCAAACCCTAATTTTCCCAACATAACAAACAAATTCTAAATAACTAAATAACATTATGAGAGTCTCGCGATTCTTTTAAACATGTAAGATTATTTATCGAGTTATCGCCGTATGAACAAATTTTTGATTATATATAAAAATTATATTTTGGGGTCCTTTTTTTTTGCAATGGGCCATTAAAATCAACGGAACCTTGGGTGTACTTTCTATGAAGACCAATATCATCTAAGACGTTTGCTTGTCTTCAAATGCCACTACATATTAATCTACCTAGTCGTCATGTATTGAAATGGATCCATGGTATCATCATCAAGAACTTGTAGAAACATATCATTCTCAATAAAAATGACTAAACAATTGTTTAAAACTTGATCATTCCTGTTATTCCGCAACTTATTCTCTCTACACTTATTGTGGAAACACAATATATATTTTTTTCATATCATTATCTTATTCCATACATTAAAAACATGGCACAATCATTTTAAGTGAGGATATAATAACACAAAACTTGTTGAAATATATATATATATATATATATATATATATATATATATATATATATATATATATATATATATATATATATATATATATATATATATATAAAACAACTTTTTTTTTGAAATGCTATAGTACCCAACAACCCATATAGTTCCGCCACTACATCCATGGTCATGTTATAGGATTGCATTATATCATAAACAATAAATTAAAGAGAAATTAAAGACATCATGTTTCATTATTACAAGACTTCTTCAGTATCCTTTATTTCTCTATGACTTGTCGCTCACAATCATATTAGAATGCATACTTTTGAAGCATAACAATTAGACCCGTACAAAAAGACTGATCTCAAATCGGATCCAAAAAAAGACTGAGACCAAACCGGTCTAAAACGAGACCAGACTGAAAAAAGACTAGTCCTAAAAAAGACCGATCCGAGACCGGTCCAAAAAAGTCTGGACCGTGTCGAGACCTATCCCAAAAAAAGATCAGGCCGTTCCGAGACCGACACAAGACCAATTTGAAATTGAATGAGACCGGTATAGAAAAAAACACCAGTAACCAAACTTTATTAATATATCATTTTTGTGCTAATTATATAATTTTTAATCACAAATTATTTAACTTATTTCATTTTTTCTTTTATTATACTTAAATTATGATTTTTAATAAATCTTAATTTATCATTTCGGTGTTAATTACATATTTGTTAATAAAAAAACTCGAAACCAAAACAAAAAAATCAAAAAATACTGAAACCGAACAAAAAAAAACACGTAAATCGAACAGAAAAAGGCGGACCGAAAAACCATGAGATCGGACTGAAAATACCGAGACCGGTCCGAAAAGAGACCGATCCGGAAAAGACTAGACAAGAACAAGACCGACCGGGATTGCTCCAAAAAAAACCGGACCGTTCTGAAAACAACCTCAAAAAGACCATAGCGTTTCGAGACCGACCTAAAACTAGTCTGAAACCGCCAATGTGCAGCTCTAGCAATAGAAAAGATTGGGCCAAATCCGAACAAAAATCAAATAGAGAAGATTGGGCTGGGCTTTTTTTCAAACGATAAGTGTGTCTGTGTGTGGATTGTTGCCGGATTAAAAGAAATCAAATTCGGAAAGCTTTGGAAAGCGGAAACATCTTGACCTAGTTTACGTTCCAGTTCCACCCTAAAGGCCACAGCCACAACCACAACTCTCCTTCCTCATTCCTTCGGTCCCTTGTAAATAACATCAACTGCCGGTGCTATCAGCCAGCTCGACGTCGCCGGTGTAGCAACCTAGTTTCCGGATCGCCGCAGATCATTCTTCTCGCCGCCGCATCCCTTTCAGCCTCAGGTAGGATTTTCATTGTGACCTTTGTTTATCTATTCTGTAAATTTCGGGCTTGCAGCCTCACAAACGTAACTGGCCAGATATACATGTGAGTATGTCCCTTTGGTTCTCATTATGTATTCTATTGACATAAACATCGGGTTTTTCGTATCTAAGTGTCTACATCATTGCGTCATTGTAAATCACCTTAAACATTGAGTAAATTTTCACTCGAAGTTCACCCCAAATCAATGTTGATTATATTTATTTCTTGAAGTATGGCTGAAAAAGGGTATTTTGGTGCAATGTTTTGCATATGATGGCTTACACTTGATCTCTGAATAACAGGTAAGTACTGTTGACAAATTCATATTGCTGATGCAATTTTCTTTGGGTGTTGCTATTTAGTATTTACAACCTTTTTGCAGGGTGCAAAGTGTAAAAAGCAACACCCATTTCTTTGCACATACCCTTGAGTAAGCTATACAATTTTTCTTAGGTATAAGAATAATTTGTATTTTAGATTGCTCCAACATAAATGCAACATTTTCTTCTTTATTAGTAAAGTTAAAGACTTAAGACCCAGATTATTTCATTTCTTAATGATTATTAACAAAACATTGGTGACATTGGTTTTTGATGATATGTTCTTTAAAGTTTTGTTACAGAGTGTATTTTTGTATCTGGTTATCAATCAAGAACTTATTAAATTATGTGTCATTATTGATTGTATTTTGGTATTTGGTTATTGAACAAAAACTTATTAAACTATGTGTCAAGTCAAATGTTTTATTCTGGTATAACATCTAACTTGTTATATAATTTGATGAGGTGTTTCTATGTCTATCAAATATTCTAAATACATTAAAAAAAAGGATAAGTTAAAAGTATATGTTGGAAAAAATCAATGTTTACATTAGCTTTCTTTGTTGTAATGTTGTGTTATAAATACAATATTTTCCTGTTGCGAATCTGTTAATTTCTTTTTTCTTAGTTTCCTCCAGGGCATGAGTCATGATCGATTGATAGGGTTAGTTTTGGAGGGCATAGTGCCATTTTTGTAATTTTTGTATAATCTCATGTCAAAGTCGAATGTAAAAGGGTTTTTCACATGTAAGTCTCTTGATTCCATTGTCCTCTTATGAAAATTGGTTATTTTTTGTGTATATCTCATTCCTTGACACGTTTACTAAGATAATTAAGAAGTTAATTTCATTTAGATTTCATAAACAAATCGACATATAAAACTTTGCAACACTGATTTTGGTTTAATTTTTATATTACTTCTATGCAAAAAAATCAATATGGTTAGCTTGTGTTTTTGTGTAGGGTTTGATTATTCGGTTAACCAATTAATGAATACATAATCAAATATAACAAACTACACAATTCATTTCTACAATAAGGAGTAAGGACCATATTTTGTCATAATATTTTCCAAAAACCATAAAAAGTTGAAATTAAATTTAAACAAACACTATGGAATAGAACAAACAAAAGTATTTTAAATCACAGCATGTTTATCTTCATAAACAACTAAACCTACAAATCAATAACACATTCAAAGTTTAGTATAACTTCAAAAAAAAAACCTTCTTTTCTAACTAAAAAAACAATGATTAAAGGATGAGATTCAACTTCGATCAAATTTGTAAGATTACACATGGCATATGGAAGGATTTGGAAAAACAAAAAGTCGTTCAAGATTAGTGTCATGGTATATTTGTCAAGGTTTGAAGAGAAGTGTGAGATGTTTCAGCAGCCAACTAGGTTTGAAGGTTCATGGTTAAAGCGTTTTTTTTTTTTTTTTTTGCCAAAGGTTCAACCTTTGGGTGTTTTGTAAAAGCTTCAAATTTTAATATAATCAAAGGGTTTGCTTAATCAAAACATTGAAGAAATAAATAAAAAAAAGTTCGCTGAAATACCTTCGATTAGATGATGATGCCATCTGAAGTTAGTTTTCTGATGAGGAAGAAGAGAGTGAAGTTTAAGATCAGGAGCATGAAGTTAGGGTTATATGTTGGATTAGAACTAGAATGAGATGAGAAGCAAAAGCAACATATATGAGAAAAAGAAATTAGGGGTTTTAAGGAGACTTGGAGAGAAAAGAAATGTAAAATGACTTGAATGCCCTCACATGAGGGGCAAGTGACATGTGTTAACGGATGAGAGATAACCAGGGTTATCTCCAAGGACCAAAACAATATTAAAACTTATTAAAAAAGACCAAATTTGTAATTATGGATGTACATGGATCGTAATAAAAAAAAACCCGTCAAACCATGTTACCAAAATTTTCTATAATATTTTTAATATATTTGTTGGTTCATTATTATATATTATTATATCTTGAATAAGAAACAAAAAAGTAAAACTAAATTTTTCCTAATATGAACTCTAAACATCTTTTTGTAAAAATAAAGAAAGTATTAATTTTTTGATTAATTGTCCATGGCGAAAACCGTTAAATGTAACTGAACCGAAATCCAAATTTTTTACATGTTGTTTATGATCAAAAAAACTACATTAAAAAACCGCTTTAATTAACCCGAAAATCGGTATGATTTATCGGTTTTCCGCTTTCTGATAATCTGTAGTTCCTTAAATTGGATGTGAAGTTTGTTTCTTTTGAATTTGGATATAAATGTCAATTTTTAAATAGGTCAAGGGCAATTTATGTAATCCACTATAAAATGGATTTGGGGGGATTATTATCTCGTTATTTTTCAAGTTTCAGCTACTCAGTTTCGTCACCATTCTTGCTGTTTTTCAGAAACTTGTAGATGAAATCACTCAAATGAGACCCCATGCCCATAAAGCTTTAATCCTCAGCACTATCTCTCATGATCTCCAGCTTCTTAGGCTCATGTCGTCCTCTCTCGATCTTTATCATCCGTCGCCTTTTGTCAACCCAACAGAAAATCAACTCAAGAAAAGTACCTCCATACGAAAATGCAGATCGATCTTATATGGATTTATCTCAGAAATTCTACGAATCGATGAAAGCATGCGTAAGTATTCGGTCGAAACCCTTGGCTCGAGGACTACATTGTCAACTGATCACAACTGGGTTAGACATTTCAACTTTTGTCCAGAACAATTTAATCAACTTGTACGCGGGTTGTGGTTTGATCGATGATGCGTCATCAGTATTTCATGAGATTGAGTTAAAAAACGTGTTTAGCTGGAACACGATGATCGAAGGGTTGATAGATTCAGGACGGGTTACAGCTGCAGAGAAGGTGTTTGACGAAATGCCTCAAAGGGATGTTGTTTCATGGAACTCTATGATGTCTGGTTATTTTCGTAATGGGTTTCCAGAGAAGACTATAGAGGTTTTCATTTTAATGGTTCGATGTTCTAACACTCTTCCCGATGAATATTCTTTCAGTTGTGTAATGAAAGCCTGTGCTAGCCTCGAAAATCTCAACTTGGCTTTCCAACTACACAGTTTTTTCTGAAAAGTTCAAGTTTTTAGGTGATGATTCTGTTGATTCGTCAATAGTTGATATGTACATCAAGTGTGGAGCTCCAGATATTGCTGAACATGTTTTCTTGAAGATGCCAAACCCAAATCTTTTTTCTTGGAATTCTATGATCTATGGTTACTCACAACTATATGATGCTCAAAGGGCCTTGGAACTGTTCGATCAAATGCCTAAAAGAGATCTCGTGTCTTGGAACATGATCATTTCAATATTGTCTAAGCATGGTCATGTCACAAAGACTCTTGGTATGTTCATTGAGATGTGTATCCAAGGCTTTAAACCAAATTCCAAGACATATGCGAGTGTCTTAAGTGCTTGTACTAATGCACTTGAACTCAAATGGGGTATCCATTTACATGGGCGAATCGTCCGAATGCAACAACATATGGATGCATACATTGGCACTGGTCTAATTGACATGTATGCCAAATGTGGACACTTCAAAAAAGCATGCAAAATATTTAACAATTTGAAAGAACACAACATTGTATCATGGACATCAATGATAGGAGGAGCAATACATAGTGGCAATGAAGTGGAAGCCATTTCATTGTTCAAACAAATGAAGGAAATTCCAATAACCTCTGATCAATTCACTCTAGCAACTGTTCTTGGAGCTTGTTGTGGTTTAAAAGATATTCACCTCGGAACCCAAATCCATGGATACTCGATCAGAATCGGAATGGAATCTCTAATTCCCGTAACAAATGCCCTAGTTACAATGTACGCGAAATGTGGCGACATTTGTAATGCAAATCATGCATTTAAGTTAATGCCATTTAAAGATATCATATCATGGACAACCATGATCACGATATTTTCCAATATCGGGAACATAGAAAAAGCTCGGGAATATTTCGATCGAATGCCGGAACGGAATCTCGTATCTTGGAATTCAATGTTGAAGGGGTACGTACAAAACGGGATTTGGGAAGAGGGTTTTAAGGTTTTTGTTTTAATGAGACAAAAAGGAGTTAAACCGGATTGCATCACTTTTGTAACTTCAATAAGCGCGTGTGCTAATGCAGCCATTTTAAAACTCGGAAACCAAGTAGTCTCTCAAAGTGTAAAGTTTGGGTTTGGAAATGACGTTTCGGTAAAAAATAGTATAATTACAATGTACTCAAAATGCGGGCGAATTCAAGACGCAAAAAAAACATTTGATTCGATAGTGTCAAAGAATTTGATTTCATGGAATGCGATGATGGATGGTTACACGCTAAGTGGCGAGGGTAATTTAGTAATAGATACGTTTGAGAAAATGATATGGTCGGGCATACTGCCCGACCATATCAGTTACGTATCCGTCCTATCGGGTTGCAGTCATTCAGGTCTGCAACCTGAAGGACAACGTTATTTCAATATGTTGCTAAAAGATGAAAGAATTCCACCAACTTGTGAGCATTACGCGTGTATGGTGGATTTACTTTGTCGTGCGGGATTTATCGAAAAAGCAAAAGATTTAATTGACAAAATGCCAATTGAGCCAAATGCTGCGGTGTGGGGAGCTTTGCTTGGTGGTTGTAGGATTCATGGGAATGCAACAATGGCGGAAACGGCTTTGAAGAATCTTGTGGTATTGGATGCGGAAGATTCCGGAACCTATGTGTTGTTAGCGAATCTTTATTCCGTTTCCGGGGAGTTGGATTCCGTTTCCGATGTGAGACGGGTTATGAAGGAGAAAGGAATAAGGAAAAATCCGGGGTGTAGTTGGATTGAAGTTGATAATAGGGTGCATGCTTTTACTGTTAATGATACAAATCATCCAAGAATTAATGATGTTTATAAAAAATTGGAGGAGATTATTAAAAAGGTTGAAGATGTAGGAATGTATTCTAGTAATAAGGCGAAGGCTTATCATAGTGAGAAGCTTGCGATGGCTTTTGGGTTGATGAGTTTGCCAGCTTGGATGCCTATTCATATAATGAAGAATCTTCGAATATGTGATGATTGTCATTCGGTGATGAAATTGGTATCTCTTGTTACTTCAAGGGAACTTGTAATTCGAGATGCAAATCGGTTTCATCATTTCCGGGATGGGTTTTGCTCATGCCGGGATTACTGGTGAAATGGAAACTAGGTTTAGTATGATGGAATATAATCTCAAACGAATGGAATGGAATCACAAACAATGGAATGCACAACTTAATATAACGGACAAGGTGGTTGATGAATCATTTTATTCTAACATGATGTTTGGTTATTTAAAGGAATGAAATGAATCATTCAAACTCAAACATGTTTTTATTATGTATTTTTAAAAAAGATTAAATTAAACTGATAAATATAAAAAATGTTACTTTATACAAATAAACTTCACAATCGACAGAATGAGACAACAAAATGGTTCTTAGACAACAAAATTGAAGTGAAAAACATTGGTAATATCTAACATTGTATGAAGCATATACTTAGCATCTCATACTACGAAACTCCCGGTAAGTTTCCTCACATAATTAAAGAATCAAAGTCACATTGTTTTACATGTTTGACACCCTTTGTCTCTTATAAATCCTCATGTTCGAAAGATCAAATTAAAAAGTCCACTACCAAAAATGGCAATAAAAGTTTTATCAGCACTCGATGCAGCAAAAACACAATTTTACCACTTCAAAGCAATCATAATCGCGGGAATGGGCCTATTTACGGATAGTTATGATTTATTTTGTATCCCCGTAGTCATGAGAATGCTTGGAAGAATTTATTACCCCGAAATCCATCGAACCATTGACCAAAGAAAATGGTTTGAGGTCCCATCCGTCATTGCATCAACTATGATTGGTGTTGCATTAATGGGGACGGTGATCGGGCAGCTAGTTTTCGGGCGGCTTGGTGACCTTGTCGGGCGGCGCCACGTGTATGGTGTTTCGTTAATAATGATGGTGGTGGGGTCCATTGGGTGTGGTTTCTCGTTTTCAGTTTTGACTCCAATGGTGTTTGTTAGTCTTGGATTTTTTCGGTTTTTGCTTGGGGTGGGAATTGGGGGGGATTATCCGTTATTTGCCACGATTATGTCGGAGTTTGCTAATAAGAGGACACGTGGAACGTTTATTGCAGGTGTGTTTTCTATGCAAGGGTTTGGGATACTGTTGAGTTCGCTTGTTACAATGATCGTCTGCTACATTTTTAGAGGTTTTAGTGATAATTTAAGAACGGTTTCGAAACTCCCGGAGTCAGAGACAACTGCACCGGTGCCGCCAGAATCTGACTTGGCATGGCGGATTATTCTTGTGGTCGGTGCGATTCCGGCAGCAATGACTTATCATTGGCGGATGAAGATGCCAGAAACCGCCAGGTACTAAGAGTATCTCCATTCTCTAACCCAACTCCATTTATGGTAGACCGGACAATTCGTGTTTCGTGTCTATTCGTGTCTGACACGTATTTTAAATTCGTGTTTCGTGTCTTACACGTGTCAAACACGAATTTACCTGTTTAGACACATATAAGACACGATACAAATTCATGTTGACACATGACACATATATACACATATATACTTTAGGGTTAAATTTTATATTTATAATATATTAGGGACCAATTTCATAAAAGTCAATAATTATTTTATAGCCCTAGCGTAAAAAGGCATTAAAAACGTGTCTATTCGTGTTTTTTCGTGTAACATAGCTAAAAAATGTGTATATTCGTGTTGTGTCACGTGTTACGCGAATTTTTTACGTGTCGTGTTCATATTTGATACCCCAAACATGTTTTATAATTTGTGTCGTGTAAATTCGTGTCTGACACGAATACACGACAGCAAACACGGATTGTCAGGTCTAATTTTTGGTATTAAAAACGGTGTAAATCATCTCCAATTCAACAATATTTTTTACACCAAAACTGATGTTACGAATAGTATTACTTTAAATTTGAAGTCTTACTATTTATTTATAAAATATAGCATTGTACAATTCTATAAATCATAAGTTGTGTACCGAGAAAAATTATTATATACGAATCACTACTACTACCAATATAAGTATGTATGTATGATGCAAATGAATAGTAATACATCAAATTGATGAGCTAGATCTTCCATGCCGACTAAAATTCAAACATAAATGAACATGAATACATCAAATTTGTTGTTTACCAAAATGGTATATGGAATAATGTTTTGGTTGGAGATATTTATCAAGAAGTCTGGTGTAAAACTAGTCACGATGTTGGGTTGAAAATACATATGTTGCAAAAGAGAAGTTTCTTTAATGACGACTAACTTATTGTCTCTACAGATTCACAGCTTTGGTGGAGAAAAATACTTTAAAAGCTTCAAAAGACATGGAAAAAGTGATGAATAATGTATCACTAAGCCAAATCCGGGAAGATATCGAGACAATGAACACACCGAACACACGTGCAGCTTTATCAAACACCTACCCATTATTCTCTCAAGAATTTTTCCGGCGACATGGCCGTGATCTCATCTCCGCCGCCGTTAACTGGTTTTTGGTCGATATCGTCTTTTACAGTCTAAATCTATTCCAATATCATGCATTTAAACTTAAAATGATTCCAAAAAGTCACATGAATATATACGATGATGCACTACAAATTGCAAAATTCCAAGCAATCGTTGCCATTTCTGCCACGATTCCCGGCTACTTTCTGGCGGTTTACATGATTGATTATGTTGGGAGAGTCAAGATTCAAGCAACCGGATTCTTTTTCATGGCAGTAAGTTTGTTTACAATTGCTTTCGTTAACAAAAGCAATTGGGGATCCGAACCCGAAGATTCAAGTATTGGGTTTATGATACTTTATGGGCTTACATTCTTTTTTGCTAATTTTGGGCCGAACACCACCACATTTATAGTTCCAGCAGAGCTTTTTCCGGCGAGGTTCCGGGCAACGTGTCATGGGGTTTCCGATGCTGCTGGGAAAGTTGGGGCGATAATCGGGTCGGTTGGGTTTTTATGGGCCTGTCGTGACCCACCAAATGGGCTTGGGGTGTCGCATACTTTGAGGGTAATGGGTTTAGTCTGTGTTTTGGGGTTTTTTGTGACGTATTTTTTTACGCGAGAGACGATGGTCCGGCCTTTGGAGGAGAATGAGAATGTTGATGAGTTTACTGGTGTTTGTTTTATTAGATTTTGGCCCCATAAAGTTTGGGTCAAAAGATTTGATGAAACAATTGTGAATGATCGTGTACATCTGTCTTTATCAAATGCATTGTAGCTTGTGTTGAATCGTCATTGTAGATTGTTTGGGTGGTCTTAGGTGACGGTTGAAAGTGGTGGTTATGAGCGGAGAACGTTGGTTAAATAAAAGTTCATAATGTCGTCTATCAATGATTATTTGGTATGACACACTTCAAATCACATGTTTCAATCTCACAAACTTTAATCTATCAATGATTATTTGGTATGACACACTTCAAATCACATGTTTCAATCTCACAAACTTTAATCTTATGGTGGCCTCTGTTGAAAAAAAAGTTCTAATAGTAAGATGCTTTAGATAAAAATCATTTTTTTCTTCTAATTTTTGGAAGAGGCGGTCTTAAGTATTTAACTAATCCTTTCGTATAACAAATGATTTAGATCATTTTATAAGAGAACTTTGTATATGCTCTTGTTAAACATTAAAATATCATATTTACCCAACCAAAATTTAAATATCATACTTACGCTTCGTAAACTTGAAAATATCTTATTTGTCAAAATCGTTTTTTTAACATTTTTAAAAAAGTTTTAAATCTTTTTAAATCCTTACATTTATACCCTTTTTATAAATTTCCATTTGGACTTCAAATGACCATCTAAAAGAAAGTTGATTGAATTGATTTTGGAACAAGAAGGGTGTTTCTTCTTTGTTTGAGATCTGTGCATATAATATCAACGATTTTGCTAGGGTTTTGGGTGTGAGGGAGAAAATTTTAAAGTAGGTTTAAAAATAAATTTGTTATTGAATCAGCTAAAGTTGTAGGGATGAAAATGATGACTTTGAAAAGTGATGGATATTAACAACTGATTTGAGAAGGATTGGATTCACTGGATATTGCTTTTTTGTAGAATTTAACGTTGCCAAAGTTCAACGCAAGAGAGTTGCAAACCTAATGGTGCGTTTAGTTGCGGAAAAATGGGCCGTTTTCCGGAAAAATTTTCCAAAAAAAAATGAGAATTTTGAAAACGCGTTTAGTTCGTCTATTTTTCAAAATTTTTCACGGCAAATAAAAATTTTCCGTTTTCTAAAATTACAAAGAAGTTTGAAATTTTTGGAAAACTGATAATCATTGTTTTCCATATTTTTCTAATTCCAATTTTTTTTCTAAAATATAAAGACACACCCACTCCATCCTATCCACCTCTACCTACCCCCACCTTAACACCCCCACCCACACACACATACCCATCCACCCCCACACACACCCACCCGCACACACATACACCAACCCGCAAACACACACACACACCAACCCACCCACACACACCCACCCACGCACCCACAAACACAAACACACACACACACATACACATACATATACATACCCACCCACCCCCACACACACACCCATAAACACACACACACATACACATGCATACCCACCCACCCACACACACATACTCATCCACCCCCACACCCACCCACCCGCACACACACACACACACACCAACCCACAAACACACACACCCCCGCATACACACATACACACACACCAACCACACACACACATACATACATACCCACCCACTCACACCCACCCACCCACCCACAAACACACACACATACATACATATACATATACATATACATACCCACCCACGCACACACCCACCCATAAACACACACACACATACACATGCATACCCACCCACACACACACTCACCCACAAACACACACATACACATACATACCCACACACCCCCACACACACATACCACCCGCACACACACACACACACACCAAACCACACACACACAAACCTACACCTACCCTCACAAATACACTCGCACCCTCACCCACCCAACACCACCACGACAATCACCGACCTACCATCACCACCACCACCATCACTAATCCGTCACTAGCACCTCTCCACAAACACACTGATTTCTCTATTGAACCTTCCCGATCCTTGAATCCTCCGATCAAATCAGATAACACCTCTCCATCGCCTTCTCGGTAACGTCCACAACCTTCTCGCCTTCTTCACCGTCCACTAATCCTCTTCTATCCTCAAAATCATTAAGATACTGATTCTGTTGTCTACTCACATAATAACACCGAAATATCAAGTCCATCTCAGTTCTTCTGCATCGCCTCCTTGCTCTACCGTTTTAAATCGTCTACATAACTCAAAATTGATGGCTGCTTCGCACACCTATTTTGCGGAGAAGAGGTCGTCGGACCACCGTCGCCTACCTCCGCTACCATACGCCGTCAAACTGTCAGTTCTATCTGCTTGGCTCTTCTCCCTCTTGCACTAAATGATGGTTGTAATGGTTGGGGTCAGACGCAAACATTGAGGTATCGGGGGAGGTCCCCCGACAACTATTTGTTAGGATACGTCTCTCTAAAAACCCTAATTACTTCATGTTTTTATTTAGTTTTGTTTCTTATGCCTACCGTCTTTGAGTAATTTGTACTTCATAGGTCTTCAATATCAATAAATCAACCAGAGATGAAGATGTAGTACTTGCAAATGATATGTTACCCAAGATGATCTAGGATTATTATGCATCAGGTGTAGAAGATCATTGGACTCTTATGGAAATTCAAAATGCTTTTTCAAGAATTTTGTAAGTGGTTTTTTCGCTTCATTTTAATTCTGATTTATCGTGAGATGACTTTTCTAGCACTCACCACCAAACTTGCAACCAGTGTTTTCATGGCAGCTTCTACGTACCCATTTCTGTATATATACCATGCTCTTTTATTTTTTAGAGATAGCTTCTGATTGTTTCTTTTCCGTATATATGGTTATCTTTCTAATTGTGCCTATAATATGTTAGATAAAATGCTTCTGAGAAATTTATCATCTTTAATGACCAATCCTATATCTGCATATTCATATCCTTCTTAAAATGACTACATATTCATCTGTTCATTCTAGAATTTTATTCTTATTCCTTCTGTTATTTTGAAAAAAAAATTAAAGTTCAATAATTAAATGAAGTTAATTAACTCTTAAGAGTATAAATAAGGTTGGTGTAATTACAAATGGACATTTTCTTCAGGTCTTGTGCTTGGATGGCGACGACTTTTTTCATAAAATGATCCTAACAAGCTTCTACTTTGACTAATCTCCCAAGTGAGTATAATTTGTTGATCTATATTAGTTTTTTGCCCAAATATTGATTATTACATATCCAATTATCCATATTTAGTGAGGAATATGTTGTTACTTTTTTTTTTTTTTTTTTTTTTTTTTTTTTTTTAAATTAGATTCGTATAAATGTTTTTGATTATTAAAGTCGACGATTGGAAAAGATTATAAAGTTAATCCCTTTTACGGTCGTTGTTAACAGAAGTGCTGCAAATGTGAGTCTGCTAACTTAAAAATATCATAAAACCAAAATATCGGTATTTAATTTGACACAGTAGGCACATGACCATTATACCATTGGAAAAGAAACAAACAATTTTACACAATAAACTAAATACCAATATTTTGGTTTTATGATATTTTTTAGTTAACCGTGGTTTTTATAAGAAGGCTAATTTTTTTTTCATATAAATTCAAATGACTATTTTACACTTACTGAAATATCCCAATTTTCAAGACCAAAAATTGCATATTGGCAAAACAATTTATAAAAACAATTAGAAGAAAACGTCATCCAATCACTTCGTTTCATAAAACCATAGTCACATGTCTCAAAACCATATAATAAAATAGTAACAATGTCATAGTACAATCCCAAGAATCTCATAATGCGGAAATCATGTGTCATGTGTGCGTGTGATGCGCTGCTACCGTGCCGACTCCTTTCCATTCGATGAAGGGGTACCTGAAAACAAAACTGAAAACTGTAAGCTCAAAGCTTAGTGAGTTCCCCCATCATACCACATATCACATAACAAACATACCATCGGGCAATTATGGGGTGCCCGGCCTACCTTGTCAGGCAATTCTAGGGTGCCCAACCTACCTTGTCAGGAAATTCTGTGGTGCCCGACCTACTTTGTCAGGCAAATCTGGGGTGCTTAACCTACCCTCCAGTTTATCTCAACCGACTACGGTGACTATTTCACCCATACTACTACCACATAATAACATAGCATGAACATACTGTCAGGCATATCTGGGGTTCCCAACCTACCCTTTAATCCTTACGACCGTAACACAGGGACAATTCCCCGTTCTACCTATTATCACATAACATCATATCATGCTAGCACATAAACATAACAGGTAGTAGCAAACCTAGATGATTGTCACAACGACAATCATCTATTAAACAACTCTTACTAGTGGGCCGACATTATGGTCTTAGACCCACTTCTACTGGAAGGTAACTCACCTCAATGTCGTGTAGTAGCTGAACTGTCCTCGGTGCTACGATCAACTCCTCTCAAACTCCTACACATAACAGTCTTCCTTAATTACCCTTTCATACTCCTAACCCTTTCAAGGGTCAACTCAGGTCAAAGTCAAAGTCAAGGTCAACATTATGGTCAAAGTCAACATATGGTTGACTCAAGTCGCCGAGTTGGTCCACCAACTTGTCGAGTTCCATATTCCACAAAATTTTGGAACTTCGATCCTACTCGTCGTGTCTTTCAAGAACTCGGCGAGTTCCTCCTACATAGTCGGGACTTTTCCTCCTAACTTGTCAAGTTTTCCTTGAACTCGTCGAGTTCTACTTCATACAAAATCGGGACCTTTTTCTCATGACTCGCCAAGTTCATCCTTGAACTTGTCGAGTCTTGCTTCATATCAGTAGGGGCGTTTAGTCCTTCTTCATAACAGTCGGGACATTTGCTTTCAACTCGTCGAGTTCTTTGACCTTCAAGTCTATAATCACGTCCATCTTGCTGAGTCCTCTTCTATACTCAACCAGATTGTTCAGAAATAGAAAAGGTTAGGGAACCACAACCCGAATCATCGATTCCTATAAACAACTCATCGAGTCCCCTAAAGTCCAAGTCTATCCATTCGATTTCTGTCACACCCCCGGACCAGAACGGCGGAAAGTCCGGAGGCGGATGACGTCATTGTATAGTATCATCA